GGAGCGCTTTTGTCCCCGGTGGTAATCCGCTCGCTTTCAATGCCCCAAACCCTGGTATACGGTTTCAAAACAAGGCCGGATTATCACCACTTTTGAGAGTGAAAATGTCGGTAATGCCCAGCAGCCTGGTCTTTTGTTCGGAGTACGGTCTTTTGTTACAGGGCCCTGTTTCCTTTGTCCGAGTTCGGAGACCCCGGCCACCCATATAAACCATACGTCTCCGATCCCGGAGTCCCCAGCAGGAAGTGGTTAAACAATTCCTATCAATAGTCCCTCGTCTGTTGATAAGTGAGTCTGGAATTATTTGTCCATGCATTCAGCTTTGGAAACTGCATAGACAGAAGGTCCATTCCAGTTTTAACAGAAGTTCTATTCCACACCAGCAAAAAATATCTGAAATTGACTTACAGAGGCAGAGAGACTTACTCTGTGTGTAATTCATGTGTTTTCATGTGATTCAGGTTTTTTAAGACTTTATTGAGGCCTGCATAAAACAAGTAATGTTTGACACGAAACAAAAATTAACTTCATTCAATGACAGATGGAATGGAATATTCAACCATTATTCTTGCCAATACACTACAAGTATTCATAATTTGTAGAATATGGCTTCAAAGTTGATAGTCCATTCTAAACTGTAAATCTAAGAAAATCGGACCACTCTTATTGGGTTTAGTGTGGAGTGTTGCACGTAGCCTTTGCCCATACACGATGAGCTCAGCGATTGCAGGTTTTCTTTTTAAGAGCTATTACCTTCATGTACGATTGCTTTATTTTTCTCCAGACATTGGGAGTGACAAGCAGTTCTGACCGTAGCCTCTTCAAGAAGAAGATCAAAGATATGAAGGCACAGGTGGAGAAGGAGAAGAAAGCCATTGCTAAGGAACACAAAATCCGAGAGAAGAAAGAGAAAAAGGCTGCCAAGAAGCTCTTTTCTACTGCCCAGTAGAGGAGTGGTCACAAGTCCAGATTCTTCTCAAGGATATCACACTTGAATCGGTACAGTAACCTGACCGAGGAAGTTGCCATTATGAGAACAATCTGAGTCATGTGGGACATGAGGATATGACCTCAGAATATTGTCACATGGGATGAGGTGACCTGTAGTCTGACCTCCAGATTGAACTGTGACCTCGAGTATAACAGCCTCATGACAGCATTGTCATGGGTGATGTGGAAGTCTGATCCCTGGATGGTGACCTTGGCACTGCAACCTTAGGCGATGTGTCCAGTAGTATGCTCTCTGGATTGACCTGTGACCTAAGGAGGGTGACCCATATTCTGACTTTGTGATGTATGACCTTAGGTCCAGACACACAATTGAATTGTAACCTGAAAGAAAATGAGCTAGGACAGACTTCATGAGATGTACGTAACAGGAAGCGTCAACTTAGCTGCGATTCGTGTGTAGCCATTGTTAACACTTGACCTCGAGAGTGACCTTTGTACTGTAGTCTGCATTCTGAGGTCAGATAGCAGGAGAGAGTCTTAAGGTGTGTGACCTGAGAGTAGTGAACTCAGTAGAAACGACCTTGGGCCATTACCACAGCAGCTTTGACCTTGAATACCTGTACGAGAGAATGACCTCTCCTGATGTCTTTATTGTGTTCTTCTGGACACCAACATTGTGTGCACATTGGGCTGTTAACCTAGAAAAACACCTTTTGCAGTTCCACAGAACTACAAGGATATTGCCTTCAAGAAAATGACCATGGGGAACCTCCTTCAGATAATGAGTTACAGAAAGGGCCAACCTTTAATGTTGATATGTGAGGACTGAGAAACAGCCGTTAAAAGCGATTTTCCAAATGTGACTCAACAACACTGTCATCTTCCAAATCAAAGTGAAGAAACCAACTGTGTTCTTAGTGTGCATGTCTTTGCAAATGTTCTTGAAGTCCTCTTTCCCTGCATTCCGGTTTCATGTCACTGAGAAATCGTTCCTTACCTGCCTAAACGCTGTCTATCGTTGCAGCTGCATCCTTTCTTCAGCGTAGCAGCTTTCTGTTAATTTGCAGCTTACAGATAATTTTGAGTTGAAGTCAGTGTTATTTGTCAAGCGCTTTTGCAAATTTTCATTCTCAAGATAAACTGCACAATAAGTCAAAGCATGCACAGAAGTGTAGATATTGTAGCCAGTGATCAATGCGAAGAAAAAAATTGTAGCTTAGAGAAAGTTGTTTATTGACTCAGATTTGTGTACAATTATTTCGAAGCCTAGTAATATATATATCTTCTGGTTTATTTTTGATAGTTGCTTTGTGTGAGTCCAGCAGAAACAGACAAATTATTCAGTGTTTTGTATAGCATGATTTCGTGATTTTTTGTTTTTATTACTGAGTGATTTTGTCAATCACAGATTCCTTGTCACAGTTTTCTTACCAAATACAGTGAACTGAAATCAATTATGGGATGTATTAGCTCGGAAATTAATGACTTAACAATAGTTGTTGACAATTTTGTCAGGTTGTGTGACCACCAGCATGCTCAGAATGGTGCAATTTATCAATACATCACAGCAAATTGAAATTTTACTTTTGCTAAGCCAATTAGATTTGAACAACAAGTGAAGATTCCAGGGAGCCCAAGTTTCAAGCAACAGAAGAGAGGCTTCAGTTATTATTTCAATTCTTTAAGTTTATTATTTCTTTTTTAATTTCTGAATGGCCCTTTCAGTACAGATGCAATATTCCAAACACCGTCGACACACTCGTTGGCCATCACTTCAACTTTATACTGGATGACATTCCTCCCACACACACCTTTTTAAAATTAGTAAACAGCACAGGAAAAGGAAGGAAAGAAATGGAGAACAGAATAAAATAGGGGAAGGCGAATTCCATTCCGTTGAAAATGGCTAGAAGTTGCCCCACCACTGTCGATGGTTTGTCAGTCTGAGAGCCCGCTCTCTCCAAAAAAAGCTGTATGCCCTCTCCGAAGAATAACCTTTGAACACCCATGGGCATAAACTTTGATATCTGACTGATGTATGAATACTCCCCTTTGGGAGGAATGTAACCTGATTATTGGTTTAGAAAGAACACCCAAAAAAGAGCTGTGATTGCCATACAAAAATTAGTTATTTCATGAAGAAAGAGAGAATTAAGCAGTCAGAATCTGATTTTCAAATATCAACTCTTGCCTGGTTTGACGAGATCGCGCTGAGATATGGAATTCTCTCGGTCTCTACTGTTAATTACTGGTAGGGTGCAGGCCGCCTACTTTGTCTTACAAATACACCATATTTGCCATACTAAAAAGCATTACATTTATGGTAGATGCACACATACGTGTTCACTAATTTACAGTATATATTATGTTTTTATATTATGTACCTTTTGATACTCTGCTGCCTGTAGCAAATTTGGCAGATTTTTTTTTATATGATTTGATAGTTTTTGTGTTCAGAGTTTGTAGATTTTTGTTAGACATTTCATGTTTTGCATAATCAACAGTGTGAAGAGTCTCAATGTACTTCGCAGTACTATGTAGGAGGAAAACATTTATTGTGGCTGTCTTTCGGAGATCTGCTGAATTTAATGGTATGATATAAATAGCTTTGGTGGGGAACAATTTGCTGGAGAAATTGAAGAATAATATATTATTTGATATTATTTGGATTTAAGTTTTTACTTTTAGATTTTAAAATTTTCAGCATTAATGTTCAAAGATTGGGTGCAGTCACATACCATTAGCCACGCTGCCGATTCATACTTTTAGGTATAAGGGGCTTAATCTATTAACAGCCTAGCTCAATCTTTTATCTGCACTCTCGTTATTTTTCCATATCATGCCTCTCCACTTTTTAATAATAGTAATATTAATATGTCTTAGCGTCTTGGATACCAGAAGTGGCTGTATGCAGAGCGTGAGGGCGCTTTACTTTCCTGCAAAGTGGTACTTAGCATTCGGTTGTTTCCTGCGTGCCTAAGAAAGATGTGGTTACCAACCACAAGCAGGCGTAAGGCAGCAGAGCAGCACACATAGCATTTTCTCCGTTGCAATTTCGCTCGACCCTGTCGTCCTTCAGAGGAGGGCAATCGGATGACCTCATTTTTGTCGAGCACTCCCTTTTTTTTTCCTTCTTTTTTTGATGGTGTTCGTTTGAACAATATAGCACGGGTCAACATCACGTGCACGTGACACGTGCGTACTGTCTGAAGGTACGTGCGTGGAGTAGGGACAGCAGGGAGCCCCCAATTTCCTTCACCAAATTTTATCAAAGGCATTTGGTCTTTCAAGTGCGCTGTAAACTGTTGGGACGAGCTAATATTGCCGTTTGATACTTCGCTTTTACTTCATATCGCATATTTATTGGATCTGTCTGTGCTTAACTGGCGTTTCAGCTACCACGAATAGTCAAGTAGAATTCTGCATGACGTAATGTACTGATCACCTTTGAGGATGTAAACCTTGTTCCATTGTCTTGTTAGCTTGCAGTTGTGCTATTTTAGCGAAGTGTGTGTTAAGTACCCGTCCAGTGTGCTTGGTATCAGCCGTTTTTACTCAAACCTTTGAACGTTTGCCTTAAGGTTTTGATTGTATTTATCACCCCTTTCTGTGTGTGTGTTTTGTTTTGTTGGATTATTGGTTTTTTTTCTTTCTTAATTTTCCCCGAATCTGCCGTCTTTCGATAAAGGAATGATTTACTTCATGCAATACAACTTTCTTTTTATTCCCGGCTTCTTTTAGTCTGATTCCGGAAGGTATGCATGTACTTCTGGATGACCATGACTTCATGCCATGGCTCCGGTTTGCCCAACGTAATCGACAATGTTAGACTGTAGTAGTTATTTAGTTTGATTTTATTTGTGTATCTCTACAACGGAAAGAGTATCCCGTAAGTTTTGAGAAACAAAAATGTGAATGGTGACGAGATGTTAAAATCACCCGTTACGATGCTGAAAAAGGAGCACAGCTTACGATACTCGTAAGCTCAATTTTGGTGCTGAATCACTATTGATATACTCGTGTCTCGTGATTGGTTACTCGGTTGAAATACTTAACGAATCACACAGTCTTCTGATTTCAGTCTTGCTCGGGATAGGTTAGACGATTTAGTGAATGAGCGACTTATGTGCATGCATCCATTTGCCCATGCGCTTAAGCTCTTAACAGAATCGGAAGTGAAAAACCTTGTAAAATACGGTATATTTAGAGGTGTATATTTCTAGTAGTAAGCTACATAAGGGAGTTAATCACCGTGTACAGTGTATACGCGTTTAAGAAATGCATGTATATAGTGAGTACATGTATTTCAACATCGTGGTACTAAATTCCTATTATCTTAATTCGTACAAAGTTATGCCCTGTGAATCTGAAACCCAACCCAATTTTTCTATCAGTTTTATAAGCTTGTAATATAATTCTTTGGAATCGTGGTTTTTTTCGTAATTGGTGATTTCAAAACCAGTAGCAGTGTACAAAGACTGTACTTAATGAGCACTTAACACTTGTGTTGTATTATTTAATCACGTGGGCTTAAATTATATTTAGGTCTGAAATCAGTGAATGTCGGCGAATTCGGATCGCTTGTCTTCTCCAAGACGTGGATATTTTCTTTCTGTCCAACTAATCTTTCATTAAAAGTTCTCTTGTATTGGGCACTCTGTATTCCAAGAAAAAGTTGGTGTAGAAAATAATGAACAAAAAATAATATAAGACGAGACAACAAGCAAGTCATTAGTGTGTATGTATATCGTTTCTATAAGATTAACTGTGTTAGTTTTTGAAATTTTAAGAAAATCGTTTCCTCTCACGGGGTTGGAATGTGGGTATTTCCAATATTGGTTTCGTGTTATGAACTGTCGAGTACACGGGGATGGTTGGTATCTGTGGTGTGTATCTTGTTTTTAATGGTGTAGGGTTTTCTTCATAAGTGAAATTCAGTGAAGGGTGGATATTAATGGCCAATAATAAATACATGACCACCATCGTCTAGATATAGAATATCTGTGTAGACTGTCTGTTTTTTGCTTTGCTCTTTTGACACAGTGATGATTTTTCAATCTCTTCTTCCTCTTCCTACAAATGAAACAACGGTTCGTGTCAATTACACGTTTTGATAACCTCCTGTGCATTGGTGGGGAGAAAACCATTCAAGTTTCTCGGAGTATATTGATCAAAATGTGCTTGGAATCGAAAACAATATCAAAAATTGCAAATATAAAATCGGGCGGTATTCTTGCAAAGATATACATGTACTCTCGACTGCCTGTGAAATATCAGTGACATGATTTTTATCCTCGTACATTATTAACTTTCAATGGCACTCGTACCATTGCCATGGAGCTGTTAATCATGATTGGTGGATACTGTTGTGCCACTTGTCCCTGGGTACGTTTCTCATCTCAGGGAGTTCTGATGCCGGGTCAACAGAAATGCTTCCACTTTGTGAAATACTCGAACAAAAAACATCCTTCAAGGGTTTTTGATGACGTTCTACAACACAGTTTGAAGTGGCAACTAGGCTTGGAATAAATGTGACATATTATGCCGACAAACAATTTTTGTTTTGTATTCTTGATTTATAAAGCGATGAAATTATCAACCTTGGTATGACCTGGAAATTTCAAATGAATCATTAACTCATGCTTGTAACTGTCTCTTTTCTTACTTGTCAATTTGTAATATGACATTCGAGCAAGGCTGCGCTAACTTTCGATGACACTGCATCTGCAAAGTCTCCATTCTGTGGTGTATTGAAAACTAAGCGTGACTCTACCGTCTGATAGCAAAGCTATATTATATGCAGGATTAGTATACTGCAGCTGAAGGAGACGAGGATGAAGGGTCAGCTATTTGTTTGCTGTTTGCTGGTGGTAGCGTTGTTCTCTCGGCCTGGAGAAGCACTCTGCCTCTGTCCAACCTGCCCCAACGGATGGCGGCTCATGGACGGGTACTGCTACCGAGTTTTCCCTCAAGACAAACAATGGTCCAAAGCAGATGAATTCTGCAAGTAAGTTGGGTCATGGTATAATAGATTTGTCTTGATGTTTTTGTTGGTCAGATAATACCCTAGCCTACTCGCCCGCTTCCTGCAAAGCCTGGATTCTTAAATCAAGCCCCAATTTTACTTGAATGCTTAATTGATCTAGCTAAAAAGTGCTCACAATCACGAAGAATGTCGAAAAGCTTTGTTAATATTTCGAGAAGGGTAAGCCTCGAAACTTATGGGGTGACCGCAAAGCATTTAAAATCAGGCAGAATTCTTACCTTTCATACTGTTTGCCCGGCAACAGAATGAACATGTCTTTTAGGCCTATGTGTGTTTTTCTGGTTTTCGTCCTTTCTGTTTATGAATTTGATTTTAATGCAGAAATTTGCCTTGTTTTTTCTTCTAATCCAGTAAGTTTAACAGAAGCAGGTCATCCTCTTTGGTGTCGATTCATAGCGAAAAGGAAAACAAGTTTGTCGGCAACCTTGCAGGAAAGAGACGGTCTTGGATTGGGCTCCATGACAGGTGAGATAACATAGTGTCATTGATTTGAAAGGTTTAGACCTTAGTGAAAGAAAACGATTAGTGTGTCTTGATGAGATGATTGACTTGAGTCAAATGGAGGGGTTTCTTATACATACTCTCCAGAAACACTAGACACCATTTATCTCATTCAAGTAAGGGAACCTTGGAATCTCGGGTGGACGATATTATGCAGTAAGGTGCCGGAACCACAGGAATGAGACACCACAGACGTTCCTTTATCCATAAAACAGTGTTAACACATTTGACATCACTGTCAGTCTCATGCATCATTGTCGCTGTCCCTACAGTCTCATGCATCATTGTCGCTGTCCCTACAGTCATTTTTTATCAATGTCATTCACATAAACGTCTCACTCCTTCAAAACAAATCCTATAGGTACAGCGAGGCGAAATTTATGTACACGGATGGGTCGCCGTTTAACTACGATGCATTCCTTCCGGGTGAACCTAACAATGCAAACGGGGAAGACTGTGTGGAGATCAAGTGGAGAAAATGGAACGACCTGAAGTGCAACTTGCCTCGGCCATTCATCTGCAAAATGTGGCCTTCTTACGAAGAAAAGTGAGACTCAAACACAGTGTACCTTAGCCCCGAAAGCGGGAAATCTCGGTATTATTCAAATTTACACCATACGTTACATACTTTCAAGGGTTATTTGATTGTTCTCCCAGTGGCCACGCGTGGAATGCTCCTTTCTTTACGGTCCCTCTTATCGGATTCACTAGCTGGGAATTATTCATCCTCTGAATTTTCGTGAGGGGAATCGTTGTTCTGATTGTTCGTAACCAGTGTTGCATAGGCTTGCAGGCCAATATACAGAATTGAAGTTGCTAAAGTCCAAGGCAAAGTCACGTTTTCCCATTTGAAGTGCCTGGACCGGTTTTTGTGCGAGTCACGTCCATTATTGTGCATATTGAACTTGCCAGTCGCGGAGGGATTGAGGTCAGGCTCCCGAAAACAACCACATCGGTTAAACTGACGAGCTCACTGGGCCGAATAACTGACCGCAGTGAATGAGCCGTATTCAAGAAAAAAAACACCACCATTTTAAGCGTCCCAGACTGATGACAAGTGCTCTAGACGAGGTTTGACGAGGCTAGTGTTTTATAAGATCTTCGCATATGCGTCTGCCGTAAACGGCTACGGCCAAAGAGTATGTGTCAACACTCTGCTGTAAAGTAGTCCGCACAATAAGCAATGCACTACATGTGCTGTGGGTTATTGCTTTATTTGTAAAGAATCTTTACTAATTTTGTATAGGATATTGGACTACAGTATACACCTTCACGAAACCATGCACGTACCGGTAGCCTGTATTATTTCAGTTAAGAGTTGAAAAGGTCAATAACTGAGCTTTCATGTGAAGCCGCTCTTTCGAGTGGACGAACGGCCATTATGATGGATCCTTTGTGAGAGTAGTACAGTTCTTGCCATTTCCTAAAATGGGTTTGATTTCTCTAATAGGCTGCAATGACAATTTTGACCCCCCCAGCAGTGGTGTGTGGGGGCGGGGTTCCTCCCCTGAATGACGTGTTGCCTTTTTAATTCAAAGGGCCGCATTTTAAAAATGGTACTGCCGGCTTTCAAGGGGTGAAGGTTTTTTCGCCGCATTTTAAAAATGGTACTGCCGGCTTTCAAGGGGTGAAGGTTTTTTCACGTTGACAAAATTGGACAATCATTTGCAGAAAAAAGCACCATTTTGGCCCTCCCATGGTCCCAAGACCTGGATATGCACGCGTGCGATTTGCGTATTGAAATTGCGTGTTGAAATATCTGGGAAGCCAAGTCACCCAACACCAAAAAAGTACCGTAAAGGAAATCGAGACGGTAGGTGTAGGACGGAAGCATATTGCTGCCACATGTAAATGTAAAAAAAGTAGAAAATAAAAGAAAAAAAGGAAAATCGCCCACAATGTTCTTTATGACAAAATTAACCTCTGCAACACAGTAATATCAACAACTGACTTTGTTTTCCCACACCAACTTCATACCGTTTTATTTGTCCACCGACGATTTGTTTAAAATTGCAAGCTATTGGTCATTCAAATCCAACACATAACTTACGATTACGCTACTTTGGTCCCATTTACTATATTATTCATCAAGTCTTAAATTTATATACGATTTTAACACAGGCCTATCCTAAAGGTATGATTTAGGGTATAAAATATTTTGTAACCATTGCTCAATCAAATGTACCCAATAACTGATACGGTGAAAATACAAAAAAAACGAACAAAACAGACCTGAATTTAATGACTTACCATTGATACGTGTAATAATGATAATGTTACTGAGTATAAGCAAAAGGGTAGTTGAGATTTTCATAAACTGAGTAATTTATTAATCTCAACTGATTTTAAAGACCACTATGTCATGAATTTTGGCATAAACTAATTCTACCTTCACCTACACATATTTGATAATCATATCAACCTCGTGAATTTTTTGCATTTTTTTATCCTATTAAAAAAAAAGACTCTGATCCGACATCATATAATGAAATTATTTCTTTTGCAATGTGGCACCCTATTCTGTCGTTAATTTTGAATTGATTGTTTTGCTGTTTAAACTATGCCAGTATTTTTGCATTTTGAATCTTACAACAGCGTTACAGTTACATGTGTATACGTTTTTTGGCGTTTTCTGTTTGAAAGTCTGTTTTCTGTTTGATTGTCTGTGAGCTACACCCTGTTTAGATAAAAGTGTTATAGTTTGCCAAGAACCGAATTTCCAAAATATTGTGAATGTATTTTACTGCTATAATTTGTACTTCTTCAACATTCACCCTACGTTACAATACCACAGGTGAAGTTCGATGCTGGTAGGAGGAAAATCAAATGACTGTAAGGCTTCGATTATAAAGGAGATACAAAACGATTTCTGTAATCGAAGATAATATTTGTAGTACATGTGTCTGTAAATGCCGACAATCTTCAGACTTCTTGAGGAGTTCCCCCCTCGGCAGGGGTTATCCCCTTCTTAAAGGTGATAGCCAACAGTTCTTGACTGTCCTTGATGTCTGGATACTGACTCAGCTCATAGGCTTACTTGGATTCCGAGAACATAAATCCGGATGCCCTGATTTGCGACGTTTCACTTACATTCCCGATAGAGACCACTGCAAATAATCAGTAATAGCGTTACCATGGTCACCGGATTCGCCTCTGTGGGAATGTGCACACTTGCCGGACTCTTTTGTTTGGTAAAACGACACATTTGTGAGTGAGCTTGACCCGAAAAACAATTTATCTGGGAGATGTCTGGGCAAACAAGACCGTAAACGTGAATTGGTGTGACTGGGAGTATAAAGTGAAAGTCAGCTGTAACTGTCATGAACTAATTCTCCGATTAATATTAAACGATTAAACATTGTAGCAAAGTCATTAATAATACATCAAAAAGTCATGAATAATATCGTCACAACGTCATGAATAATTCATCACCTATAAACTCTATTACTTTCACCAATACAAAAAAATTTGGCATAATATGCGTCACAAAATTAGAAATAGATTTTTCACCGCCACCGTTTACTGTGTCTAAAAGTGAATGAATAAATAAAACATAGTATTAGAATGAGGGACGTCTACATATTTTCCCATAGATTCAATTCATTTTTCATGTTT